TGAAGTGTTCAAAGGACAGTGTATCTGAAACAATTCCTTTTTACCTGATTAACACTTTAAAGTGGCAGGAAACTTTGAAACCTTTCATTCTCTTATAAGGCCAAACTAAACATAAATCAGGACAAAGAATCAAATGTAGTGGTTCTGTATCTCCCTGGCAAAGTAGTTTATTGTTCTAGGAAATTCCTAATATGCATGCAGTTAGCATCTTTGGTAGTGAATTGTGGCTTTGGTCAAATTTCTTGGGCCTTTACAACTCCTAACCAGCCTGTTTCTACCTCAGACCCAAAAGAGTGGAGGCTAGACAGGCAGACATATGAAGAGTGGCCATGTTAGTATGTAGGAAAATTGTTTCAATTTATTCCCATTTAGCCATGTTTTGGGGAAGAGAGGGAGTGAATTTAAGGAGAAGCACTATCAGTCAAACAAACAGAAACTGAAAAAAATCAAATTATTCTGGGTTTTTGTCAGAATATGCTGCTATTCCCACTATACAGAAATACTTCACACTGAGGGAAAATACATCCATGATTTGCTAATCTGAAGAAGAATAAATCTACTACTATTCCACATTTGTTTCCTTTTCACAATAGGTTGCCATGAAAAAATTCTTAGAAAACCAAATCGAGTTGCAATTTGAGTATCAGAGTAATCCTTGTTAGATTTATCTCAAGAGAAGATAGTTTTTCCTTTTTTCTAAAAGAAAAATAACTCCCACAGGACTTGAAAACTAACAACTTAAATGCCTTGATTTATTTTAACGTTTCATAAAACTTATCCCTTTATTATAATGAAAAGTCTAGTTTCTGTTTTGTCAGAAGCAGACTTTGTTTGGGTCGTTTTTAATCCTTGGAGACAGCTCCCCCTGCTGTAATAAGTGCTTAATTGCAGAAGGATTTTTTTTTTTTTTTTTTTTGCTTTCCAATGAAAAGGAGCAAAGATGGCTGCACTCTAACAGGAGGCTGAGTGCCCTTGTTCCATAGACTGGATTTACAGCTAAAATTCTGCACAGCCTGCTTGAGAAAACAAGGCAAGTATAGCTGATTGGACTATATTTTGTCTAAGGAGCACTGAAGAAACAAGACAAGACTGGTAGCCCTAACCGGTTTGGCTCAGTGGATAGAGCGTCGGCCTGCGGACTGAAGGGTCCCAGGTTCGATTCTGGTCAAGGGCATGTACCTTAGTTGCGGGCACATCCCCAGTGGGGGGCGTGCAGGAAGCAGCTGATCGATGTTTCTCTCTCATTGATGTTTCTAACTATCCCTCTCCCTTCCTCTCTGTAAAAAATCAATATTTTTTTTTAAAAGACTGGTAAACGAGGGGAGTTGCAGAAAGGGGGACCCCCCCCCTCGAGATGGTGCTCAACTGAGAGGCCTGACAGATAGTGGCTGCAAAGCTCCCTTTCCTTGGGAGTGTGGACTGGCATCCGAATGCAAGGATATCAAACCCTGAGCGATGGCGATGGAAGGAGAGCCCGTGAAGCATTGGGCAGAGGAACCCAGGGGAGCAGTCTGCCTGGGAAGCAGGGTGTGTGCCTTCCCAGGGAAAGAACACGCCTAATGTCAGCAGAAGAGCCAGAGAGATTCACCAGGGTGTGTGGCTCCAGAATAGAAAGCAGCCTGTAGGTTGCAACCAGCGGTGACCTAAAGGGACCCTCTGCTTTCCTGAAAGGCATGGTACAGAGCCCCGGAAAGCATCTCAATTGTGTGGCAGGGAGAAGAGAAAGAGGGTCCTCCCACCTCCAGACAGAGTCTGAGCTGCAACTTCAGCTGCCAGCAGGGCAAAGCAGGGATTTAAAAAATATATATGTATTTTTACTGATTTCAGGGATGGAGAGAGAGGGAGAGAAACATCAGTGATGAGAGAGAACCATTGATCGGCTGCCTCCTGCACGTTCCACACTGGGCATGTGCCCCCACCGAATCGAGCCATGGTGTCCTGATTCATGGGTTGACACTCAACCACTGAGCTATGCTGGTTGGGCAGAGAGCAGGGATTTTTGACCCACACTGAAGATAGCTGGAATCACGAACGGAGCTGGGAATTTTGGCCTCAGCTTTACGAGACCAGCTGTGGGGAGAACCTGCATGGGACTGACTTTGTAATCCCTTTTCCTTGATGGGAGTGCAGGGACAATGAGTCCTAGCAAAGCAGTTTTCTGCTTGTTTCTTTATGGTTTTGTTTGTTTGTTTTTGATGGCACCCTATGATATCCACTGGGAAGTCTTATATTGGGGAGAAAGACCAGCAAGAGCCGGGCTTTCTGTCTGCATTTGGAGAGGCTGACCCAAAGGCCTGTGAGTTCAGCCAGCGGTCACGGGGAAAGGTGGGGTGGAGTACATCTACCTCTCCTGTAGGCAAGGAGCACCTCCCCAATAGGAAAAGGGCTGGATTAGCTCTCTGAAGCCCCAGATACTCCCACTGGGCAACGTTTGGTGGGGAAAGGAATAGCTCAGAGGAGGACAATCCAAGAATAAGACTCTCATGGACTATTGTTTGGGACCAGGAGGAAAAGCTTAACACCCCTCCTGGGGGCTGGGAAGGCAATATGCTCACAGGACAGCTGTAACTGAAAAGGCAGTAGGCTATATCCAAACAGAACCTACACCAGGCCATTTTAGGGGGAACTAGGGTCGGAGGACATGGTACAGACTGAAGAGTTGGCTTCAAAGCAGAGATTAATCTCGCCTCAGTGAGTGCCTGATGGCGAAATCTCTAAGGGGCCCCCTAGCCCTAGTTATGTTAGCCTGCCTCCACCCTAAAGACACTCTTCGAAAGACACTGGAGAAAGACCAGGCAACTACAGAGGGAGGCGGCCCTCAGAGAGCCTCAAACTGACCAGCTACAAATGGACACCAAGAGCCAAACTTGGAAAGCCCCTGACATTGGCTGACACAAAGGCACCTCTCAGGAGGCCTGAAATCAGCATACTAAACAGTGAGCGTTGCGGAGACAAACTTCACTTGGCTTACTTTAAAAAAAAATTGTTTTGTTTTGCTTGTATTTTTGTTGTTCTATTTTAAATATTTTCTGCTTTATTGCCTTGATATTATTACAGTTATTAAGTTTTTGCTTTTCTCTCTTATTTCATATTTCTTATTGGCTTCCTTCTTTTTCCACCTTCTTTTGCTTTATATCTCTTCTTACCTTTGCATAACATTTTTTTCTTTCTCTTCTTATCTTTACTGTTTTCATTTTCCTACTCTCTACTCTTATTTTGCTCTCCCTTCTTTCCTTTCAGAATCTTTTTTTCTGCCCAGTAACCTTTTTATTTACTTATTTTTTTTACTATTAGCAATATCCTTTTCAGTCTCTTTTTATTGCCTTAGTATTTGTGTTCTCTTTCCTCTTTCCTAATTCTCTTTTCTCTTCGGTTGTTTTTATCATGGTTATAGGGATATTTTGTATGTTCCAGTTCATTTCCTGTCGGTTTTGTTTTGTTTTGCCCTGTCATCACCTGTACAATAGTTCACACAGTGTGGTTGTGGCTGATCCCCACAGTTAGCCAGCCTGAGAGGACAGCTCTCTGACAAATAGGACAACAACAATCTAGATCCAATCACATGAGAACCCAAATAACACACAAAGGGACACACATACAGCTCAGTAGTTCAAGGAAAACACACCACTGGTTCCTACAGAAGTTTACTACAAAAGCCCAACCCACAAGACTGGGAGTCATAACAAATACATATAATGCATAGATAGAAACACAAAGAGACAACTAAAACGGGGAGAAAAACGTCCCCAAAATTTAAGAAAAGGAGGAATTGCCCGAAAAGGACCTAGATGAGATGGAGGTAAGCAAGTTTTCAGACATAGAGTTCAGAGTAATGGTTAGAAAGATGCTCAAGGAACTCAGTGAGAACTATAATAAACTTAGTGGGAACTTCCAGGGAGTTAGTAGGAACTACAAGGAATTTAGTGAAAGCCACGTCAGTATGAAAAAAGATATAGATACTATGAATAAGAACCAAATAGAAATGAAGAATATTATATCTGACATCAAGAATACATTGGAAGGAATTAAAACCAGGCATTATGAAGCAGAGGAATTAGAAGGTAAGGAAGAAAAAAAATTAAGAGTACTCATACAATTCAACAAAAGGAAGCCAAACAACCCAATTAAAAAAACGGACAGAGGACCAAAATAGACACTTCTTCAAAGAGGACATACAAATGGCCAAGAAACATGAAAAAATTCTCCATGTCACTAATTATCAGAGAGATGCAAGTTAAAACACAATGAGGTGCCACCTCACACCTGCCAGAATAGCCACCATCAATGCTAACAAACAAGTGCTGATGAGGATGTAGAGGAAAAGGAACCCTAGTACACTGCTGATGGGAATGCACACTGGTACAACCATTATGGAAAAGTATGGAGTTTCCTCAAAAAATTAAAAATGGTACTCGCATTTGACCCAGTGATCCCACCTCTAGGAATGTATCCTAAGAATCCAGAAATATCAATCAAAAAGAATATATACACCCCTATGTTCAGTGTTATTTACAATAGCTAAGATCTGGAAACAGCCCAAGTTCCCATCAGTAGATGAGTGGATAAAAAGCTGTGGTACATTTACACCGTGGAATACTATGCAGCAGTAAAAAAGAAGGATCTCTTACTCTTTGAGACAGCATGAAAGGATTGGGAGAGTATTATGGTAAGTGAAATAAGCCTATCAGAGAAAGAGAAGTATCACATGATCTCACTTATATGTGGAATATAATGAACAAAATAAACTAATGAACAAATAGATCCAGAGACATTGAAGCATGCAACAGACTGATGTATTTCAGAGGGAAGGGGCAGTGGCTGGGAAGAGATTAACCAAAATGCTTATATGCTTGTATGTATAGCCAATGGTCAAACAATAGTGAGGGGAAGGTCTGGGGAGGCGGCAGGAGAGGGTGGAGGGGGTCAACAGGGGAATAAATGGGGACATTTATAATACTTTTAACAATAAAAATTTTAAAAAGAATATGAATAAAGGTACAATTATTAAAGAAATTTTATTTTGAATAATATACATATCATTAATTTTATTTATTTTTCATAGTGCATAGTATATGTAAGTATACAAGGAAAATAAACATTTAGGATACCTATGGAATGAAGTATATGGGTGAAGAAGGCTTTCGATACATAGGCTTAGTAGCATCACAGGACAGTATCCATTAGAAAAAAATAAAAACCATGCAAAAATATATCCAAATCATGGTGAGTAAGTGCAGTCAGTACAAATTATACTTTCTTGGGTATAAAAAGTATATATGTTCTTTGGATTGAAAAAATAATATATAAATATGTGGCATGGATTTTAAGTCCAAGCCAAACATCATCTAAAGTAAAAAGTGGGATGCCACATGTGACAATAAAATATTAAAGGCCACATATGGAGGTCACCAGCTTACAAAGAGACTACTAAGAGGTAGGGAACAATTTTTTTATAAGAAATGCAATGAAGCTACCTCTGCCTAAATTAGAAAATAGTGAATGCCTCGACATTAAAATGATAACAGCTCCCCATACTATGTTGCATTTCTATTTCCTCTGTCAAAAGAATTCACTGTGCATCACTACAAAGTTCAGTGAATATGATGAGGTAATAAATGTAGAGCTTTGGCATTAGGGAAAGTTTAATATTTTTCATTTTACATTAGAGGGAAACAAGAATATAGAACAAGAAATGATCATCTCTCCATTCAGCACACTACCTTTTAATTGTTTCAGATATACTATTTGGCACAAGGGGAATAGAGATATAAAGATATAAACCCAAACTTCCAACTCAAAGATTTTACATCTAGAAAGCTAAAAAGATAACATTCTTTACCATTTTAAAATTAAATGCTAAAGTAGGTTTTAAATGTTGAGATGATAAAAAAGGTGAGAGAAAAACAGCAAAGAGAAATACTTAAAATCTTCTGGTTTCCTTTATAAAAGTTTCTTTTTTTTCCATTTATTTTTCTAAATTGCATTTACAGTAGGAATGCAGACCACTTTGGATAGCTGTGGCTCAATATTGCGTGGTGCTCTCCTCTTAATACATCATCTTCTTGCACTCCACTGAACAGAAAACCATCCCTTCCACCGGCATGAACTTCTGCCCAATGAGACACTTGCTGCAGCAGGAGCACAGAAAGCACTCTGTGGAGGCATGCCAGCTGAAATTGTTATAGGTCACCCGCTGCACTTCGGGATCAATGGCATTGTGGCATCCTTGACATACCTGATACAAAAAAAGGAGAGATGAGATTGACCTTTCAAGTAATCTTTCTAGCCAACAACTGTTAATGGGGTTTATATGCTGAGCACAGTGAGAAATAACAGGTGAAGGCCAAACAGGTAATCTGATGCTTGCAAAATATCCCCATGGTATTCAAGGCAGAAAGTCTTGATGGGAAGTTCCAAAGCAGCGCATCTGGTTCAAGGGTATTCTATTATAATTGCACATTAGTAATTACAAAGAAGTTTATGGTTTTTCCTACAATACCAAATTCTAGGAAGGCTGTGGAGCAACAGGAACTCTGTCATTGCTGGTGGAAGTGCAAAATAAGGCCATTTGGCAGGTTAACTAAACATACTTTTATCACACAATCCAATAATCATGTTCTTTGGTATTTACCCAAAGTTAATAACTTATGTCTACTCAAAATCCCTCGCCTGGATGTTGCTTTACTCATAATTGCCAAAACTTAGAAGCAATCAAGATTTCCTTTATTAGGTGAATGGATAAATGGTGGTATATCCAGACAATGAAATATTATTCAGTGGTAAAAAGAAATGAGCTATCAAGTCATAAAGAGACATGGAGGAAAATTAAATGCAAATTATAAAGGGAAAGAAGCTCATATAAAAAGGCTACATAGTGTATGAATTCCAACTGTGACATTCTAGCAAAGGCGAAATTATGGATACAATAAAAAGATGAGTGGTTGCCAGGAGTGGAGTGTGTGGCAGGGAGGTGGGAGAGATAAAGAAATAAATAGGCAGGGCACAGAAAATACTCTTTATGAAATAATCATGATGTGTGTATGTGTATATCTACTTATATAAAAACCCTGGGTGGTGTTCATCACGACCAGACCAGAACCACGACCAAGCGGAAGGAAGTCAGTCCTAAAGGGGCTTTCTTGGCAACGGCTGCACCCTCCCCCCGAGCTATTTCCCGGAGCTGTTTCCTGTAAGGGCGGGGTTTGAGGCAGGAACCCGCCCTGGGAGCATGGAGGCAGATCTTTATAAAGTGTGCCACGCCAGCACAGCCAAAGGTGAACCTGAGTGGGGGTGGCTGAAAGGCTTAGAAAACAGACAAGAGAATGAAAGCAGGGTCTCGGTGGGATGCTGCTTCTCTGAGAGACAGTGACCACTCCTACAGCCATGCCTTTATTTTATAGCAGATGCTACAAGGCAAAGTAAGGGCATGACCAAGATGCTTACAACATTCTCCTGGGTTTCAATCCTACTCAACTACATGCACCTGTACTCTATCAAGCCTACATCACTCAGGCACATGGGGCCATGTGTTCGGACCATAGGTTCAAGCTTACAACTATAGCTGTTGGCTATAATTGTGCTGGGAGGGCCCTGCCCTCCAAGCTGGGACTTGCACATGGCAATAAGAGGACTGTGCCCTCTCATCAGTCCAAGGCTTGAACCTGTCCAAAACACTGTAGCGGCTTCCCACAATAAAGTTTTAATTCTGTTTCTTTGTTACTGATATTGTGGCCCCACCCCATAACAAAGAAACAATTTCCGAGGATGAGGCCCAGGAATCAGGATTTTAGAAAGATTCCCAGGTGATTCTAATGTGCAGCCAAGGTTGAGAACCAGTTATAGATAATATTGAAAATATATCTAAACATACAATTCTTTGTCCAAAAAATGAGCATGTTCAAAAATTAAATGAAGAAAATTTGGATATACTCGATGGAGATTTTCACACATATTTGAGTGATGATTCCTTGATTCCACAGATGATGCTGAAAAGGAAAATTTTCCCATCTAATTTCTTAATAGTATTACTCCTTCGGGAATGCCGTGTCATAAATTAAAATTGAAAGTGGGTGCAATCATCATGCTATTGAGAAATCTCAATAGTAAATGGGGTCTTTGTAATGGTACCAGATTTATTATCAAAAGATTACGACCTAACATTATCAAAGCTGAAGTATTAACAGGATCTGCAGAGGGAGAGGCTGTTCTGATTCCAAGAATTAATTTGTCCCCATTTGACACTGGCCTCCCATTTAAATTGATTGGACGGTGATTTCCCATGATGCCAGCATTTGTGGTGACTATTAATAAATCACAAGGACAAACTCTAGACAAAGTAGGCATATTCCTACCTGAACCCGTTTTCGCACATGGTCAGTTATATGTTGCTTTCTCTCGAGTTTGAAGAGCAAGTGACGTTACAGTTAAAGTTCTAAGTACTTCCATCACAAGGGAAATTAGTCAAGCGCTCTGAAAGTGTTTTCACGCTTAATGTGGTGTACAGGGACATATTAGAATAAGTTTAATCACTTTATCAGTCATTGTTTGCATCACTGTTGTTTTTATATCATGTTTTTGTTGTTTTCATATCATGTTTTTGTTGTTTTCATACCATGTTTTGTCGTTTTTATATCATGCCTCTGTTGTTATATCCTTTTGTTACTATTTATTTATTAATAAATTTATATATTATTTTCATATACATTTTACTAATTTCCTTTCACCTCTCACACTTCTATTATAGAGAAAGGGCAAATAGCAATATTAAAATATCTCTGCTAATTAATTCCCTTTTAAAAAAATATATATTTTATTGATTTTTTACAGAGAGGAAGGGAGAGGGATAGAGAGTTAGAAACATCGATGAGAGAGAAACATCGATCAACTGCCTCCTGCACATCCCCCACTGGGGCACAGAAAATACTCTTTATGAAATACCGCAACCAAGGTACATGCTCTTGACCGGAATTGAACCTGGGACCCTTGAGTCCGCAGGCCAATGCTCTATCCACTGAGCCAAACCAGTTAGGGCAATTAATTCCCTTTTAATGTGCACGAATTTCATGCACCGGGCTACTAGTATATATATAAATATGTATAATTTTATATAAATATGTAAACATTTTCTATATATATAAAAGCCCAGCAATCAGAAAGGCAGAACGATCAGAATGACCGGTGGCTATGATGTGCACTGCAGCAGCCAACCAGCCTGATCCGGGCCCCAATCGACCCCCAACATCCCGTTCGGGGGTGGGGTAGGCCAGCCAACTGCCTGCGGACCCTCCCCCCGGGCTGGTCCGGCCCGATGGGCTCCCATCGGGGCAGGCCAGCCAGACCCCATCCGTGCACAAATTTGTGCACTGGGCCTCTAGTATAAATATAAAATTATATATGTACTAGGGGCCCAGTGCACGAATTCGTGCACCTTGAAAGGAACTGTGGGCTGCGAGGCTGCGGTGGGCAAAGGAGCGGGTCTTGGCCCATCCTCTATGCCCCTGTATGGCCCCTCCTTCCGCAGCCCCCAGTCCCCTGTCTGCCAGCAGCTTCGCTCCCACCGCTGTGGCTCCCACCCTCTGACTGTGCCGACCCCACTCACACTTGCTGTACAGAGTGATTAGGGCCAGCACCAGCATCGGATGAGAGTGGGGCCGGTGCTGTCAGTGGGTGCAAGTGGGGTGGCGCCATCAGTTGGTGCGAGAGGCGGCTGCCAGCCCTGATCGTTCCTCAGGAGCAGGGGGAGGTGGAGAAGCCCTGAGGGGCGATTGGGGCCAGTAGCCGCTGCTCGCACCCACTGATGGTGCTGAGCAATCGGAGCCAGTGCCAGGGGCCGGTGCCAGGTGCCAGCAGCAGGTGCAAGCGGCGGCTCCAGCGCTAGCAGCGGGTGCGAGCGGGGCCAGTGCCGGCAGTGGGTGTAAGGGCCCAAGGGACCGCAGAGCACGGGAGCAAAGAATTTTCAGTAACCACCAGAGGCTCGCCCCGATGACAGTGACCAGCGACCCACCTTGGTCTGGTGCCCCCGCTTACCTGCTCTACCATCCCGCCGTGGCCAATGCCCGCCATGTTCTGTGTGCACCTCCCGGTGGTCAGCACACATCATAGCAACTGTTTGTTCTGCTGTTTGGTCTATTTGCATATTAGCGTTTTATAGATATAGCTATTTATATATAAATAATTTGTCCATTCTATACATTGTCCAAAACCAAAGAAAATACACCAAGAGTGAACCCTAAGGTAAATTATGAGCTTTGGGTGATTATGATGTGTCAATGTAGATTCATCCTTGGTAAAAAATGTACTATTCTGGTGAATGATATTGCTAATGGACAAGGCTATTCATATGTAGGGATTAGGGGTATATGGCAAGTCTTTTACCTTCCATTCAATTTTGTTGTAAATCTAAAACTGCTCCCCAAAAAAGTCTTAATAAAAGACTTTTCTTCACTCCTTTAGAATTTGAAGCGTTAATTTTATCAGTCTTACCTATGACACAAGATTATTAGCACCACTAATTTCTAGATAGTAGTAAGTGAAAAATCATGTTCAAAGTAATTAAGGACTTAATTAAAAACACAGTGTTTGAGAATAATTAGTTTGCAATAAAAACATAACTTGTAATTAATTGGCTTCTGTTCTGTTGTAAGTCATAATATATATATATGGCTAATACGCCAAGTGTCCCCTCGGGAGTTTGACAGGGAGACTGGGAGTTCAACTGCTTGCTATGACGTGCGCTGACCACGAGGGGGCAGCGTGGAACATGAGAGGTGGGTGGATTTGAGGAGGGTCATCCAGCCTGAGCCTCCTTACTTGACTAGACCTCAAAATCTGACAGCTCCTCAGCAGGCAAACTGATTAGGGTGTGAAGTGAGACCTTGTTACAAATACCTATTTCAGGCCTGCAGTATATTTTCCATACTTTTTTGAGCTCCATGACGTTTAATTACAGAAACTGTAGCTGTTTAATTCACACACTGTCTACCCAGTCTTCCCTGAGAAGCAAGGGAGAGAATCTCTTTGCATAATCAATACAGAATTCCTGAGTATAATAAAAATGAGTGTTTTAATTACAAATGCCCTCCTATTTTTAGCAGCACCATGCAAGCAACTGCTTTTTATATATTCATTTATAGATTTATAATTCATTTTGAATGTTCTCCTTTGTAGTTTTCTATATTTTATATTAACTTTTCAATATTTTTAAACTTATTTATGTAAAACAGAAGGACTTCACACTCAATTTTTTTATTCCCTTGCTTTTAGACCATGAACTATCTTCTTTATCTAAGCCTATATTTGTGGATCTTTTTATAATCTTTTAAAACACACCCTATTATCTGTAATTTATAAGAGATAACTACTGTTCAACTATACATAAAATTAATTATTTAGGTTAAAACATAACTAATGAACACACTAAATTTAAGGTTTATGGTTTCATAAAATTTAGTTTTATTAATAATTTGATTGACATTCATCCCAAGGTCTGACACATAATCCTAGTGAAACATACTGACCCCTGGTTCTTCATAAACCTGGAAGCAGCCCAGCCCTCACTGGGGGTTTGGGGACTACACAACCCTGCAGGGAGATGATGTGCTTCCTGTGTTCAAAAACCTCAAATATTTCAGAGCTCTTATTCCCTTCAAGTCCCTACTTCTTTTATTTTATTCATGTACACAATGTGAACTAGCTAATGGAAATTGCTGAAAGGAGGGCTCTGGCAGCAGGGCCCTGTGAGATGTTGTAGATGTGAGTTCTGGAGAAGGCCCTTTGATACTGGAATTCCAGAGACAGAGACAAGCTCAGTGCATTTCCCATTATCCTCCTTCTAGGTTAGGTTTTTTCCTCAGAAATGCCTTGTTTTGAGCTGAGTTCTTGTCTTTAGATTAAACATAAGTTGTATCTCTCTCCTTTTATATAAAAAGAAAATTAAAGGATCTAAGTAGATCAATCCCCTAAACTAAATAACCTTCTTCAAAATTTTACATCATTTAGCATGCTGCATACTTTCTTTGCCACCAGCTGGAATTTGTTTAGGTGGTGATATGTTCATTTTGATATTAGGGAAAGGACCCTAGTATATCTTACATAAAAGTAAACTTTAAAAACCGTATCATATTATAAAGCGAAATAATTTAGAGAGTATCTCTTTTTAAAAAATTATATCTGTGATTATAATCCTCCATTGAATTGATAAAATGCAATGGAGAGAAGCTTGTAACAGTTAAAGCAGCTTCATCTATTTAAAGCGTCATTCAATAAGTATTTATTATCTACTGTATTGTTCTAGTGTTGGAAATAGAACAGAAAACAGGGCAGACAAAAATCCCTGCCCTTCTGGAGTTTGCATTATAGTCCTGGAGACCAAGGTCACTCACCCTACAATAAAATACACATTATGATATTCCTCTTCTGTAGAGAAACTTGCAACTCTATTCAGAAAAACAGGACTTTTTGGCTAGATTATGTATCAGGCCACATGGTGGTTCAACATCTTTTCCCCAGGTATAAGGAGGGTCCATGTTGACCTCAAAACAAATGATAAATCTCAGAGCGCAAGTCAATTACTCAAAAGTTTCCTAGGTTCAGAAAATGAGGATATGAAAATGAAAAGGCAAGCTCTATGTTCCAGCTACTTATAGTCTAGTGGAGGAGACAGATGAGTTACATTAACAATCACACATGTGCGTAAGCACACACAGGGACCCAGGGGAACGGAGGGGTAGCCAGCCTAGTCAGAGAGAAAGGGGTGGGACTTGGTGTAGGGAATTTGGAAAGGTGTTCTGAAAAATGTTAAACCTAAACTGAGTCTGGAGGAAAGTGCTGGCATAGTCAGGTAAAACAGGAATAGGAGGCTATATCAGAAAAAAGAATAAGTGTGAGCAGAAGACAAAGAACAGTGTATAAACTAGAAAATACTGGTAACTTGTGGAAATGTATGATTTGGGTTGGATAACTAGTAGAAGCAGCTACATAGGCAAGAAGAGACTGGTGCATCTAGTAAGCAAATGCTTAAGGAACAGATTTGCATTTTGAAAGATTACCTTCCATCGTTATGGAAGGTGGCTTTGAATAAGATCAAGAGTGAATGTGGGGAAACCAAATATTTGAGGCCACTGCAATAATCCAAATAACAAAAAATAAAGGTCTGAAGTAGAGTAGCTGTAAATGTGAGGTTCTGAGATATGTTGATGAGGCAAAGTTGATAAAAAAAATAACTATATCTGAGGACAATGGATAAGAGTTGGAAATTGGCATTGACACCAAAATTTGTTACCTTATTTTCATAGTATCACACTCCTAGAACTACATAAATATGTCATTTTTTATTTCTTAGTGAGGAGACTACTTGATAGCTCAGGGGGATCTTTAACTAGGATGTATTTTTCTGCATATAAAAAAATGTCTATTCTTTTCATATCCCCTGGCTTATTTACCATATGTGGTCAACCTTTTATTTACTAAATTATCTCTTGACCATCATGCAATAGCAGCTCTGTGTAAGTAGGATAGATCCAAAAAAAAAAACAAAACAAAAAAAAAAAACTCTCACATTAAATACCTGAGTGTTTGGTCTGAGCAAATAAATCATTTAGATTTATTTAGTGCAACCCAATAGTACATATTAAATCATTTAGATTTACCAAATTCAAACCAAGAATTACAGGTCAAATTTTGTTATACTAAATTAATTCCATGAGCATTTAAAAAAGAGGCACTGACCGGCTGGTGTGGTTCAGTGGTTGAGCATCAACGCATGAACCAAGAGGTCTCCGGTTCGATTCCCGGTCTGGGTACATGCCTGGGTTTCGGGCTCATTCCCCAGTAGGGGACATGCAGGAGGCTGCTAACTGATGTCTCCCTCTCATCGATGTTTCTATCTCTCTATCCCTCTCCCTCTATCTCTAAAAAAAACACACCCATAAAAACATATTTTAAATAAATAAAAAATAGGCACTGTACAGGCTCCAAACAGCAAAAACAAAGCTCTGGTGGATGGTCTAATAACATGAACAGAAACCATAAGTACTAAAACAGATCTAAAGAATGTGAACAGCCCCTAGAAATCTTAATTTAAATAGAATCGGATCTGCATGATCAGAATCAATTAATCTCATTCTCATTAAGAAACTTTTTTTAAAATGGGGATTTGATTATCAAGTAGCATTTAGGATGCACAGCCAGAAATCTTGAGGTGGCCAACAGTGAACACATGTATTGCTTTTGCATTATCTGGATTTTAACACCCGAGGCAGGAATTACGTTTCGTATTTGAAAGTAGCACTTTCTGTTTCTCACTTATAAGAGGCTTAAATAAAGGCATAAAGTCAAGTGATAGAGCAGTTTCCCTAGAAGGCTCCTCACCACAGCGTGGTTCTTCACGTAGCAAGGCTTGCACACGGGCTTGTCGTTGACCATCACGTAGATTTCCCCAGCGAGGATGTTGTCACAGTCAAAGCAGCAGAAGTGTTTCAGATGCCAGTTCTGGTTTTCTGCCTGGGTGTACTCATTGCTAAAGATCAGCTGGGAAGAGAATAAACATAAGATGAATTGTGGATTTTTTGCCACAATCACAAAGCTAGGCTCTTTAGACAACAAGTACATCAACTTACTTTCTTGTCTGAAAATAACCTAAAACTTGAACTTAGGTCATTAGTTTAGTCCAAATCAATTTTTTGCATTTCTGGACAATCTTTCCTTAGTCAACACAATTAACACAGCATACAGAATGATTGAAATTAAAGTTTTTCATTCAACTTCTTTGGATGTAAATAAAGCAACTGATGCTTGGCTAAGTTATGTTGCCTTCTCACTAAGGGGAGCCTTAGGATGGCAAGGGGACCATATGGGGAAACAAAAATGAGCCTGCATGCAAGTGGCCCCAGAGAACTTACCTCATCACAGCCAGCACATCGGGGTTTCTCACTGTCACAGTAATGTCTGCCACAGTATAGCTTCCCATTCTTCCAGAAATAAATCATGTCGACCAGGAGTTCATGGCAGGTACTGCAGACAAAACAAGCTGGGTGCCACAGTTTATCGTAACCAGCCCTTTCAGCATAGATGGCTGGGTCACCTTCCTTCATGCTCAGTTTGCAGCAGTAGCAGGACTGAAAGGGAATCCATCCAAAACAATCTAGTCATCATACAATTGGCATATCTCATCATCAGCTTTAGTAAAAATTCAGAGAAACCACTTTTAAGAGAAATAATTTCTACTGAAATTATAGTTTGTTCATGTAGACAATAAGGTGAAACAATCCTTGACTTTCTCAAGGCTGTTCAAACCTAATTCTTGTACTCTATGTGTAACAGAGTATTGTTTCCTGAATTAAAGCACTTATGGAAAAAGGCTAATAGTAATTTTCACCTAAATTTATTTCATTTTTCCATCACCATTTATCCCCTCTATGCCCTCTTTCACCTCCACACTTGCCCCTCCACCCTGCAGGGGGCTGTTGGGGGTGGGAGAAATGAGCAAAAAAGAACATTTTCACCTAAATTTTGAGTGGGTCTCTAAAAAACTATTACCTTAGAGCTTATTAGTACCTTTTAAAAAGAATTCCTTTTTATAAAACTAAGTCTTATTTGTTGAGGTGCTAACAGAATCTATGAGAAATATATTAAGTTTAGTTCTCAGATGAACCTGGAGAGCATTACGCTAAGCAAAATAAGCCAGTCAGAGAAGGATAAGTAACATACGATCTCATTCATTTGTGGAATATAATGAACAAGGTAAACTGATGAACAAAAATAGATCCAGAGACATAGAAACATCGAAAAGGCCATCAAACCTCAGAGGGAGGGCAGGGAAGGGGGGAAGAGGGGTGCGAGCAGCCAGGGAGATCAACCAAAGGACTTGTATGCATGCATAACCAATGGACACAAGACAGTAGGGGGGTGAGAGCATGTGCTGGGGGGTGGGAGCAGCCAGGGAGAGGTCAATGGGGGGAAAAAAGAGACATATATAATACTTTCAATAATAAAGAATTTAAATTTAAAAAAAAGTTTTTTGTACATCTGTATCACAATTTTCTCCAAGCCATAAAAAAGACTTCAATTTCCCTCTTTAGAAGAGATTTTAAAAACTATGATTGAATATATATCCACATAAATTTAAGTCTGCATTTTAGGTGCAATGTACCAAGCAAAACTGAATTAATCTAATCACATATTACTCTTATTTATGGGAATAGATAATTAACACCAAAATTATGTTTAGAAAGAGATTCTAGATTAGTATGCTGTATTCCAGCTTGATACCAAAGCTAACTACTGTGTTTACTAAAACTCACAATTATCCTTGGCAACAAGTAGTCAGAAAACTTGGCTCCAGACCAGTGGTTCCCAACGTGGGGCACACGCCCAACCGGGGGTCAATTTGATTTTTAAGGGGGGCAATTCGTGAATGAGTTATTAACAGTGAACTTTTTTCCTTTCTTATGGTTCTAGGGACCTTATATAACGTATATAAATAGATACTGTGACATATTTATGCATTTCAGTTCTCTATTATGTGTTTTGAAACTATTTGCTATTTTTTCATATCACTTCATATTATTATTTTTTAACAATTTCTTAGTGATTTCATCCTCAGTACTTCAACTGTCCTTTCATTCTTTTATTTTTCTCTTTCATGGATGCCATATTCTTTGGAAGCTTGTTTAGACCAAGTTAATGGTCTTTTAGGCTTCCTCCACGTGAATAGCAGTTCACTTTTTGAATAAAAAGAATTATATGTCACAGTGGGGGGGAGGGGGGCATCAGGATTTTGGAGATGCTTAGGTGGGGCATGGCCCAAAAAGGTTGGGAACCACTGCTCTATATACAGGTTTCAAACATGACGATTCTTTAAAATCAGCATAAACTGAATTTTAATTCAATTTATTTCCCTCACCTACTCCCTTTTGGAAACAGAAGAGTGGTCTCCAAAAAGGTTCAAAGAAAGGGTAAGAACCTATAAATTACACCAACTGGACCAACGTGTGACCACTGTACTCACATACTGAGTTCTGTGCTCTGCCGATTTGTCCTTCATGGTCCCCACTGATGCCACGGTGCTTCTGTCTCCGCCAGGGATGCACACTCTGCCGGAGTCTTGAGCATTCATCTCACGGGGAAGTTTGACATCTCCTACTCCCAGAGCCTCGCTCTTGTATTTCTTCACAAACTGCTCCATCTCCTTTACCTCTTTGGGAGACAACTCATGGCACTTTGAAGGGTCCTGGTCGTGTGCAGGGAGCTGCTTTGCCAGCTGCTTCTTCCGGTACTGCGCCCCCTCCGAGCCCGCCACTGGCTGCTTCTCCTTGGGCAGCATCTGCATGTACTGCCTGGCCTGAGCCACAAGGAGACCAGTGTTAACTAGGAGATGACTTGGCCATTAGGACGGCAATATTATTTTATAGACACATCAGAAGCACGTTACTTAACATAGAAGTTGGTTTTATCTACTATAGTATTAACAACAAATTATCTTCATCATATAAGTATCTTGAGATATTAGCATATTGAAAAGTGATATACCTAATAGATTTAATTCAATAAAAATTAACACATTTTTCTTCAAAAAAATTAAGATTTTTGCCCTAGCTGGTCTGGCTCAGTGGATAGAGTGTCGGTCTGTGGACTGAAGGGTCCTGGGTTTGATTCTAGTCAAGGGCACATGCCCGGTGGCAGGCTCAATCCCCAGTGGGGGGCAGTGCAGGAGGCAGCCGATCAATGATTCTCATCACTGATTTTCTATCTCTCTCTCTTCCTCTCCCTTCCTCTCTGAAATCAATAAAAAATATATCTTTTTAAAAAAATTAATATTTTTTCTTCAATTTATAAAAAGATTTGGGTTACTAATGTTTACTTGTGCAAAATATACAAATGTACAATTGTAAGAGAACACAGATTTTTAGGCAGCATGTATAGAATGGCCTATGGATCAGCAGCATTTTCATTATAAAAAATATCACCATAAGATTCACTCTAATGATTTAACTCATGTTCTTAAAAGACTTCCAAGTGTCTCATCTGGTTAAACCAGGAGCATTATACAAAATACATTTTTTTTGCCTTACATAGTAAAATATAGTGTTGAATATGTTTGGAGTTCTAAATAATGACAGAAATTTTATTCCTAAGATATTATTTACCATCATAAGAGGAATATTCTCAAGAGTAAACTAGAAGAGTCACTAGATTTGAAAAATATGTTTTTTTCACCTAAACTATTCATAATATCAAACCATTCCCTCAAAGAGGTTAACGTATTTGATAGAAAAATGCTATGAGGTATCTAATCCTACTTTCAAAAGACTATAATAAGAGTTGAAAGTCAAAGCAATGGGACTCTAGGAAAATAACAGACCTGAAGTTGATTAGGTCACTAAAGGAACTGCCCTAAATAAGTAGTTGGCGAAGCTTAATAAAGATTCCTCCTCCCTGCACACCCACTTATTTACCAATGCCTGATTCTGAACAGGAGGAGCCCACTCGTAGGTAACTGTATTGATGGAGACATTCTTCTTGGCAGCAACTGGATTGGTCAGTATCATAACGTTGCGTTTATACATGGGAATTCCATCTGATTTTAGCTTTGCAATCAGGGTGGTGTACTTGGTGTCTTCAAAAAGTTTCCCCACTTTTCGATCCTCTTCATTGCTCAGTAGGATATCATGTTCTTCTTCACCACACTTGCAGTTACGACATATTTTTCTATGATTTTGGAGAAAAGTAGGCAATGATTAATTCTACAAAATCAATTATAATTATGTGCATACATTTATAACTCACAAAATACTTTTACATATATTCCATTTTATAGTACTCAAGGGAAAATCTTTTTTTTTTTGTCAGAGAAATACTAAGTAGCTATCCATAAATTTAAGTAAGGAAACATAAAAATGTGCCTTCACTTTACAAGACCTTAAAAAAGTTAGTTTTTTATTTTAAAATACATGCTCAAGAGGCCATTCTGAGAGTAACACCACTTGGTATTCTTCATTCTCATAAATAAATAATAAATAAATAAATAAATCCAGCAGAAAAGTATCAGAGCAAGAAGTTTCTTTTCTTTTTTTAAATAATCACGTTTTATAGCCATTACTCAAGTTTTTCTTTAAAATGAGAGATAGAGAGATTGATATAAGTTTTCTCATTAAGGACTATAACTCTAGATTTAGGTTTATCTTTTCTGACCAATTTCCTTTCCCATTTTCCATTTCTTTCCTCCTTTCTCTGCCCTCTTCTTTATTTCTTCAAACATTTATTGATCACCTACAATGTGCTCCATTATGTATATAAAGAGATAAATGAAAATTTCTGCTCTTCTTACACTGCCAGCTCCCCCAATCTGGTCTCGTACATAATTACTCATTCATTCATGCAACATATATGAGTGTCTATATACCAAGCAATGTACTTGATAGTAGGACATAATGGTGACAAAAATAGGTCCAGTCTCTGACATTCTAGATCAGGGGGTGGGCAAACTTTTTGACTCGAGGGGCACAATGGGTTTCTTTAAACTGGACCGGAGGGCCGGAACAAAAGCATGGATGGGGGTGTTTGTGTGAACTAATATAAATTCAAAGTAAACATCATTACATAAAAGGGTACGGTCTTTTTTTTTTTTTTTTTTAGTTTTATTCATTTCAAACAGGCCGGACCTGGCCCGCGGGCCGTAGTTTGCCCATGGCTGTTCTAGATCCTCCCACCTGATGGGGAGACAGACATAAACACACACACACACACACACACCTATAATTGCATTTGTGATAGGAAAGAAAGAACAGGGCACCTTGAGAGGACATAATTTTGAGTTGGAAATGATGAAGAAAGAAGTTCTTAAGAACATTGATCAGTAAGTGACATTTAGGTTGAGATCTGAAGGATGAGGAAAATATAGGTGTGAATGGAGTATGTGTGTGCATATTTGGGAAGGGGAAAAGAAAGGAGAAGAAAATCCTTCAAACATTCTGGGTAGAAAGTATATTTGTGGTGGTCCTAAATTAGGAAGAGACTGTTCCCTTAGGTTCCATGACCGGAGAAGGCTGGTAGTGAAGTAAGAAATGTGCAGTGTCAAGAATGGGAGGTGGCCATGGGATTACACAGGGACTTGTAGAACACCTTTAGGAATCTGGCCTTCATTGTAAGAGCATTCAGGAGGCACTACAGGCTTTTAGGTTACAGAATTACATGATTGGATCTATCATTTAAAAAATTATAATATCTGCCCTGTGGAGAGAAGATGAGGGATACACATAATTGAAAGTAGGGAGGCCAATTAACATGTCAATGGTTTCAAAGAACAAATCAAAGGACAAATTTAAGATCTCCTTGAATGTAAACCTGACTACACATTGTGGTTGATTTGGATATAGTGATGGTGAAGGGAAGGCCCGGCTTGTTAAAAAAGGACGAGGTCATAAAATGAATACAGGTTTCTGGAATGAGTAAGTTTGTAGAACAAATATAATTTATTAAGAAAGTAAATGCAAACAAACAGATCTGAGGTATGGGGAGAAAAGGTTGATGAAAGGACTCCACAACTGAATTACTGTTAATTTTGAAATATCTATGAGACTGGGTAAAGATCTCAAGTACATTATAGGATATATAGATCTAGTGTTAAAAACTGTGGCCTGGTAAAATATGTAAACTCAAGATCCAGGGAATGATGAATATGCATCGTGAGTTGAATAGGTCACCTTCACTTCCCGGGGGAGGAGTGGAGGAAAAAGGTGAGGACTCAGGAAAGAATCTGGCTGAAGAGCAGATCTAGAAAATGTGACAGAGGAAACTGGAAATAGAGACTGTGGTGTTAAAAACAAACCAAAATCCAAGGCAACAATAGCATGTAAATCAGGGGGCATCTGAGAGTTTTAAGAAACATTCTAATATCCTTACACTGTCAGGGAAATATTAAAGATATAAATTAACATTAGATGTTAAGTATGCATGTTAAAATATCTAGATAACTAAAGAAAGAAGTATTGCATATAGTTTCTAAACTAACAGAGAAAATGGAATCTATATATATAAAATTTTAATATACAAATAGACCGAACAGCAGAACAACCAAACAACCGGTCACTATGACATGCACTGACCACCAGGGGGCGCATGAGGAACATGGCAGGTGTAGGCAGCAGAGCGCGGAACATGGCGGACAGGATGGTGGAGCAGGTGAGCAGGGGCGCCAGACGAAGGCGGGGCGCCGGTTGCTATCATCGGGGCAAGCCTCTGCTGATTACTGAAAAATCTTTGCTCCCACATGCTGCGGCCCGCCCAGTGCTCGCACCTGCTGCCGGCACCAGCCCTGCTCGCACCCGCTGCTGGCACCTGGGGCCAGTCCTGATCGCTCAGCACCGTCAGTGGGTGCGAGCAGCATCTGCCGGCCCTGATCACCCTGAGGCTTCTACACCTCCCCCTGCTCCTGAGGGGTTATCGGGGCAGCAGCCACCACTCACACCTGCTGCTGGTGCCGGCCCCAATAGCTCTGCGCCATCAACGGGTGCGAGTGGGGCCGGCGCTGTCAGTGCATGGGAGCATCGGCGAGAGCAGAGCTGCTGGCAGACAGAAGACCAGGGGGCTGTGGCGGGAGGGGCCGGGTGGGGGCGTGGAGGATGGGCCAAGACCCACCCCTGTGTCCACCACGGCCCACAGTTCCTTTCAAGGTGCACGAATTCGTGCACTGGGCCCCTAATGAAAATATAAAATGCAATTAGTCAAGCAGAAGGCAATAAGAAAAAAGAAACAGGAGATTAGGACTTGTAGAAAGCAATAATTAAGACAGCTGATATAATCCAAATATATCAAAAGTCACAATAAATGGACTTAATCCTATAGTTAAAAGCCAATGGCATTCATTGGATAATACAACAAAATCCAACTATATGCTAGTGTAAAAGACAGTTAAAACTTAAAAAGTGAGAAAGGATGAAAGTATAAAGATCCAAAAGGATAGTACCGGCAAATACCAGCAAAATTAAGTTCGATACCTCTATTAATATCATACAAATTGGACTTTAATGCTTTTTCCTTTTAAAGGTTTTTAAAATTGACTTTTAGAGCAACAGGAAGGGAGAGAGAGATTGACGTGAGAGTTGAGAGAGAAATATCAATTGGTTGCCTGCAGCGTGCCCCCTAGAGTGTGTGGAGCCCACAACCCAAGCACCTGCCCTTGACCTGGAATCAAACTGGCAATCTTTCAGTGCATGGGACGATGCCCAACCAACTGAGGGACACCAGCCAGGGCTGTTTTTTTCCTTTAATGAGTATTAAGTCATTACACAGTGACAAAAGTTTAAAAACACCTCTATGATGTAACCGTCTAAACTTAATAACCTAATAACCTACCTACAAAATATATGTGAAAATAAAGAACTATATAAGAAACAAAGGGACAAACCCATCATTATAGGGAAGCTAACAAAATTAGAAATAAAGATTTGAATCAGACAATTAATAAGCTTTATCTAAAAGACACATAAAAAATACCATAGGGGGAAAAAAAATACCATAGGACAGTGACTGAGAATACACATTCTTTTCCAGGCACTTGAAATACTGGGAAAAACTGAACATAGAGCAAGTCTCAAGAAATGCCAAGGACTGATCATCAACCACAGTATCCAAACAGAATGCAATTATGGTAAAAATCATCAACAAAAAAACAACTAGAAAATACTTCTTGCAAAAAACAACAACAAAAAAAAATACTAAAAAACTCAGTATTGAAACAATCACAATAGAAATTAAAACAAAAATATGTTAAAAAAAAAAAGAAAACAAACTTACTTCTTGAAACTTGTAGAACACATCTAAAGGGATACTTAAGGGGAAATAAATAGCTTAAATGCTCAAATTAGAAAAAAAAAGATTAATAAGCTAAGTGTTCCATTCAAGAAGTTAGAAAAATGCAAAGTAAGCCTAAAATAGAAGGAAGGGAAATAAAGATAATAGTAGAAACTAATAAAGTAAATGTTTCCTTCTCTCTAAATGCAGAAAAAGCCTCCAACATCTTTTCTGATTACATTTTGTTTATTAATTCTAGCTATTGTAGAGAACTTGAAATAATTTTAAAAAGGGTTTCTGGGAAAAACAACAACCCAAAAAAACTCAGCATACATCATACTTAGTACATTCATTTTAGGACCTGAAGCAAGAAAACAACCTTGCTATCACTACTTCATTCATATTGCCCTGTGGGTATTAATCAAAGCAAACAAGAAAAATTGAAGAAATAGAAGTTATAAGGAGTCATCAAAAAGAAAGAAACTAAACTACTGTTATTCATAGATGCTATGACTAATCATATAAAATGCAATGCATTAGCATCAATAAGAATTTAGTAAGTTTTCTGGATTTAAAGTTAATACAGATAATTGGACTTCTCTACATGAGAAAGTTAGAAGAAACAAACAAAAACTCTGAAATGAATCTCTTTGCCAAATAAATTATCAAACAATTACAGATTTTTATGTTCTGAGTTTTCTTGAGGTGAGTTTTACAAATGGAAGATATTAGATCTGACCTGTACAATTTCAGAAAGTGAGAAACTGAAGCAGAGAAAGACAGAGACAGCAATGGAGTAGTATAAAGGGTGGGGAGGCAAACTACTTTCCCTGAACACACACTAGTCAGAAATGTTTATTTGGCAAGAATCTGCTGAAGAGTTTGCATATTCTGACTAAAGACTCTTACATCTGGTT